AGGTATTTCTAACAGCAGGGTGGTTCTGCTTGTAGTTGAGCCTAAATGTTTGAGCATAGGAATTCCTTTTTAGCAGGCATCACCGAGCCAGTGTGATCAGCATCATTGGCTATATGAGGGGTTTGCCAGATACCACTCTGGGGATTGGGCGCGTAATGTACATGGTTTATTAGTGAAATGCTCATGATCTTTGGCACAGCTCATTCCAGTATGCTCTAGGCTTCACTCATGGAATGCTCAGAATTTTGTAAACTGATTTGAGCTGCGTGGTATCTGGCAGGGAGATGAGACTGGACAGTTGCTCCAGCATGCACCTTCCCCACTTCCTTGGTGTGAGCATAAGGACTTTAAAATCCAGAAAAAGGGTAAAGCAGCTATTCCCTGAAGACAAGAAGTCTTTGACTTGTGATAGGCAGAAGAGTGCCCCTTTCTTCTTTGGGCTTGTGCCAGTCAGTGTTCCTTAAATTCCTTTAAGTCCCACAGGAAAAGGACCTTGCTTGCATTTCAGCTTCCCTCTGGCTTTCTCATCCAGGTCTGCCCTCTCTGGTCCTTGTGCATCATTGCTCATTTCCTTCTTGGTGGTCTGGCTACCCAAAACAGACAGTTGGGGCAGCTTTAAAGACATAGGCAGCAGAAGGCTGGGGCTAATGGGGGTTCATTCCCCCAAACCAATTTCATGGCAGCCAACGATGCCAGCAGCACCATGGTGCCACCATCCTGCAGTGCCCAGCACTGCTCAGCATGCAGCCAGGCCAGCACCCCACACGCACTCAGCTCCACGCAGCTTCACTGCTCCAGCATCATTGCCACACCCCACCGCAGCACTGTACGCAGCGTCCCTGCTGTGCACCCATCTGCTGCTGCGTACAGCACCAGCGTTCAACAGCCCTGTGGGAGGGAAAGGTGGTGGTCAGGCAGGCACTTTTACTCAGTTCCCCGCCCCCCAATAATATTTTCCCCTGCCACCTATATTTAAAGGACTTCCGAAGGAGTTACATGGCGCTTAGAAAAGCCATATAACTGACTCCAACCCCTTTTGCAAAGCATTTCCTCTTCTTGTTTGCTTTAAAAGCAATATCAGTAGTCTCCTCTCCATCCAAAAACTTCTTTGTAAACCTAGGTTTCCTGTAACATCAAACAAATTCTCTCTGCTCAGTGTTCTGAGTAAACTGACACTCTTATGGCTGTGCCTATATCAGTAGGGGCCAACCTTTTGGGCAGGCATGCTGCAAATTAAGCCTTGCAGCCTCCTTGGGAGCCACTTTGATTTCCTTTTACCTGATCTGCTGCTCTGCTTTGTGCTCCCTGCTGCTGTGCTCCCTGCCCAATCTGCTACAAGCCAGACACAGAGGCTCTGTGCCACGTGTGCCACACATGCCATGAGTTGGCCACCCGTGAGGCATGGATTGGCCACCCCTGCTCTATACAGACTTGCAGCCAAGCCTGGAATCCTGGCCTGGAAAAAGCTTCTTTGCACTTGGTGTTATGCCCAAGCTAGCAAATAGACTGAGTAGCTTTGTCCCTTAATGCAACTCTAACAGTGTCTGGGGTATGTATTCAGGACATCTCCAAGCTCTTTATTCTGTGCGATTGCTAGCCTTGGAAGTATGGGAGGGAGTGGACAGGGATTCTTTGTGGACAGGGGAAGCTGTCAAAACATAGCCTTCAAAGCCAGCTACCTTCTTTAGCCTGCTAGAGGAACTGCAACCTAGAATCCTCATCTAAATTTGAGTTTTTGAAAGGCACAATTGAGTAATTTAGAGAGCAAAGTTTGTTTCTTGCATATAAGATGTCGGACCTTTAATGCAGCATTGTTGGGAAGGAGGGGGAAAAGCCATGATTCTGGCACCTTGGGCCGGGTTGGAAGTGACCTGTGCTTGGGCTATGCCCTGTTAAAGCAGCCCTTCCTGTAAAATGTTGTCAACACCTGAGTCACAAGTATAAACCCATGAGCGAAACTTAAAGAATGACCGATGGAGATTAAGAAATTGCTTATCCTACGCTACCCTGCACAGAAGAAAACTGCCTATAGACTTTTATGTGCTTAATATGTCTCCACCAGGGTCAGAGGCTTTTCAGTGCATGCTTAGTTTAACCCTGCGTCAATATGCTATGTTAGTTTTTTCCTGCTTATTTATCTTCCCTCTGGCTTTTTTCCTTATAGTTGTCAGAAAGACACAATTGGATTGGTTCAGTTTTTTTTGTTACAAAGCAAATAAATTCAGTTGGAATAAAATTCATTGGAGTGTACTTTGCTGAAAGAAAATTAAAAGCATGGCATACAGATGTATCCATATCATTTAGGAAAATATGCTTTATGTCCATTGGCCAACTGTCTGGGTTGTCTCTCCTACCTGACAAGGGGTCCAGCCATAAGTTGAATGTGGCTATCAGTCCTTGAAATATGCCATTTCTCACTTCAACCAAGAAACCTGGTGATGTATCTTAAATTTCCCGAATTGGGGGCCTGGATCCATACTGATTATTTTATGTAAAAATATTTTTATAAATTAGGTTTTATAAATTTTATAAATTAGGTTGATAGTTTGGTAGCCTACAAGTGACTTCTTTAATGAAAGTTAATAACAAATAAGTATGATATTTACTCAGTGTTTGTAGGTAAGGGGAAGTTTGATAGACTTCTGAAAAGATCAGATGTCAAATTTTCCAATTTGGGATTAGTCTCTAACGGGCTATTCCTTTAGGAAGAGCACCACAAATTTCAGGACTCTAGCTGAGTTTTAGGCTAAACACTAAAAATTAGTATATTAATGGCAGCTCTAAAAACTTTACAGTGATTGGTTGTATTTTATAAAACTTGTTCTCATGTAACTGGGGTAGTTTTGGAGATATTCTGTACGTGGACTGCTTTTGGATTTCTAGTAACCTAGATGATAAATTAATTTCTACATTTGGCTTTTAAGCCAACATTTAAAGTGTCAAACAATTTCTTCTAAGCCAGGGGTGGGCAAAATGTGGCCCGGGGGCCAGATGCAGCCCACCAGGCCATTCTATCCAGCCTGCAGGGCCCCTAAAAAATTTAGAAAATTAATATTTATCTGCCCTGGGCGGCCTGTCATGCGCCCTCAATGGCTTGCCACAACTCAGTAAGCGGCCCTCTGCCCAAAATAATTGCCAGCCTCTGTTCTAAGCCAGTGTTTAAAGTGTCAAACAAGGATATATTTTTAAATGTTATTTTCAAAATGGTAACAAAGAGTTGATATGGCTAGTTGGTTATATTTAAAAGTTAGGATAAAAAACTAGTTAGTTGGGTGATGTAGTGCAGTCTTTAACACACTACCCCCAAAAGAACTTTTAAGTACAAAAGAGTAATAATGAAACCAGTTATTAAGCCATATTAAAGTTCTATATTCCAGCTAGAATTCTCAGTCTAAATGGTAAAGAGATTTGTCGTCTGAGTTGTCTTGTGTTATGCCAAATTCTAAAAGTATTTCATATTATCGGGAGAAAAATTTTCTATCCTTCATCCTTTTACTCTTTCCTGCCAATATTCTAGTTCAGGCTTGTTCAACATTGTTTTCAAGTTAGAAATTGGATACAAGTACATTTGTCAAGCAGTAATTCTGGAAAAAAGTAAATGGGTAAAAACAAAACAGAGTTTGCTATTAACTAAATAAACCTTTTAATATAAATGCTGAGATTCTGTGCAGATAATTTTTTTCTTAAAATACTTAGCATATCAATGACCAGATTTACCCAAATCCAAGATAACTTCAAATTTAAGACAGCCCCCCAATTATTAAATTCTAGACATGGAAAATGTATATATTTGTTACAATTACCCATGTCTACCATCTAATTTTTTTTTGGGGGGGGGGGGGTCATTGTAAATTTGTCCTCCCACCATTGCAGCAGGCCAAGCAGTGGCAGATGGTGCAGGGACTGGTGGGAAGGGAGTCAGGTAGCCTTGTCTCTGCCCCTTGTCACCTGTCCCCCTTACTACTTGCGTCCCCCTCAGCTGCCTGCCCTTCCTGGTGCTCATGTGCCCCATATCTGCCCCCCATTGAGGTTTGTACCCCCTGCTACCTGCCTTCTCACTGCCTGCCCCCCTCCTACCTGCTCCCCCATGCATGTGTCCCCTGATACCTGCCCCTTCCCTCAGTGCCTCCACCCCTGGCACTGCCCTCCCCATCCCCCCCATTGCCTGCCCCCCTTGCCTCCAGCTCCCCCCTGCTTGGCCATCCTCTGCCCTCCCCTACTATTGTCCTGCTCCCTCCCTACCCCCTTCACCACCACTTAACCATTCCCTCTCAACTCCAGCTCTGGCTGGGACCCTGCTCCAGCTTGGGGCAAGGAGCCCAGAGTATGTGCTGCCTCCAGCCCATACTCTGCAAGTAAAAGGTAAGGTGGAGGTGGGGCTGCTGGGGAGCAAAGGTCGGGAGGAGGAGCAGAGGTGTCAGGTGGGCAACAACTGCAGTTCTGACCCCAGGCTAGAGCAGAGCTGCTGCTGCTGCTCCCCCACATGCACTGCCCCCCTCACCCCCCACACAAACACTTTGTACTCAAATCTAAGATGAAAGGCTTTTCCCCCCTGTGTTGAATTGGTGAGGGTGGTGAACCTTGTCTTGGATTTGAATAAGTACAATAGTTTAGCAAAGTATCCTTCATTTTGATGTTACAAAATATTCCTTGTTTTACAGTGAAAATTGTTCATAAGCTGTGATTCAGACTCTCACATCAATCTTTATTTCAGGGAGGTGGAGGAAAGTGAGGAATGAATTGCAACTGTGATCTGCTGCTTTAGAGACTTCAATCGACTTCTTTATTTTTCCTAATTGCATTGAATTCTCTTATTTTAGTTCTGATCATCTATTCAGTATGAAGTTTATTAGTGGAGCTGATAATAGCAATGATGCATTCAAAATTGTTTGAATCAAACTGAGGAGAAAAGTTTCTGGTACAAACTTGAAAAATTTTAAATGTACATAATGTAATAATCAGACTACCCTCACTCACCCCTTCTTATTTTTTTCACCCAGAAGTGGAAGAACTATTAGCTTCTCTTAAGCATATCCAACACATTTTGGCAGACCCCCAGAGTCAAGAGGATATCACCCTCATTTTACAACTTGTCCAAAATACTGATTTTCAGAATGCATTTAAGATACACAATGCTGTCACAGTGCACATGAACAAAGCCAGCCCTCCATATCCTCTTATCTCCAATGCACAAGAGCTAGCACAAGAGGTATGTACAGTATGCTTTTGCATGATATATTTGTAACTTGTAATTACTGCTGTGTCATTGGAAACATTCGCTTTTGATCTGTATGGTAAGCTTGCCTGAGTTGTTAATCAATTTTTTAATAAAATGGATCAGAAGAAATGAACAGTGACTGTCTTGCATCTGGTTTTTCCAGATATAAAAATAGCTTCCAGGACAAAAATAATCTTTGATAAGAAATTTAACTGAATTGCAGAATTTAAATCCAGTTAAAGGAGCAGTAGTATATCAGTTATCCTTTACCTCCCGTAATTCATTTCTAGTACAAGTGGGTATTGTTCGATTAGTCCATTATCACTGAGACGTTCTTTTGAGCATTGATCAATATTTTTAAAATTGGAAGACACCTCTTAGAATGGAATCATACCAGAAATGATAGTCTTATCTTTAAACTTAACTCCCAGTTTTCATGTTGTGGTTACCAGTATCACAAATCACCAGTTCTGATCCTGGAACCAGCACGTCTGATAATAGAATTTTCAAATTCCGACATTCTGATGTCTCTTCCATCAGGCTCCTTTCACTAAGTGGTAGCCTTGCTTGCCATCAGAAACAGTTGGCATCTGGCTGATTTACCACTTCCTTTTGGTTTTTATTTTCTGGCAAGCTGACTTTTTTGTCACTTGTGGGCTTGGATAAGCTGGAAAAGCAGAGACTGTGATAAAACCCTCTAATCCTTCTGTGTGATTTTTCAGGATACCTACATTTCACCTTCCTTTAGCTCCCATAGGGCTGCCATTCCAGGAACATGCAAATGTGGTGGTAGTAATTACAATATGAAATCCCTGAAGAAAGTAATCTTCCACATATCTAACTGAATTTAAATCCTTACATCTTTTGTGTTTTGGGACTGCAGGTGGCATTCCAGATTTTGTTGCATGCAACTCAATTATTGTTGTCTTCACCTGGATGGATAAGACTACTTATTTCTTCTGTTACCACCGATTTTTAAATAATTTCCATTTTTCTGCGTTTAAGAAATGCATTTGATTATAGGAGAAATGGTTTGCAGCATTGCTAAAATTGTCAGTTACAAAATAATGTCTTAAGGCTTGGGTGGCAGGAGGCTTCCTGAAAATTCAAGTAGAAGCTGCTTAGGACTTCCAAATTACTTCAAGAAAATAGATAAAAGGGCTGAATTCATCCTTGCACCTATGCATGGCTCAATATCTTAAGATAATTTTTAATCTTAATTAAGATATGGGGTAGTGTGAATGTTTGTTACTTTCTTCCCTCTTAGATCATAAGGCTGATGGGGAATATCCAAAGCTTGGAACTTTCTGGCCACTTTCACCTCCTACATGTCCCCAATATTCCCCATGACAGGCTCTCTTTGTTAATTCTGTGCCTGATGGTAGGCAAGGTCTCCTGTTCTGGGAAAAAGGTATTTAGATTCATAGGTGAAAGAAGTACTGGACACAGTAAGTAATATTGGAATTAATTGTGGATTGCGAAAATAGAATATACTACATTAATAACAAAAATATTTGTTAAAGGCCTCCTCCCCTTGTTAAATAATTTTGGCCGATAATTGAGCAGCTTCCCTATAGTGAATAAATTACCATATTTTCTCATATACAACGCATATCTTTTCCGCAACATTCAGCTCTTGGCAATTGGGGTGAGCATTCAAGAAATCATGGAAACTCCTATAGTCATGAATATGGTAGCAGAAGTTTCTGTCACTTAACCATCTGCCAGGGCTCCCTAGCTACTGGCTATGGATACTTTTTCTTTCCCTCCTCCCCATTTCCTCCTCACACGCTCCTTTGAAGCTCTCCAGAAAGATCTATTTTTCTCCATTCTGCCTTTCAAAAATAAAGTGCAGTTTTTATTCAGGGGCATGTTGTATACAAGAAAATACAGTATTTTGCTAGCAGAGGTTACTAGAAGTCGCACAGAATCAGCAGATTGAAAAAAATGCATGTTTTGCCCACACATGACAGTAAATTTTAATTTTCACAGGATGCATCTTCACATGCATTCAGCTGTGCAGTAGACTAATTTGCTGCAATGTAAAGCATTGCAGTCTACATATGTGATGCTATTAGGTTGCAGCAAACTAATTTTTGCTGCCATAGGATAAGTACTGTCAGGGACAGTGTTGTCTTATGGTGGCAAGAATAACTGTACCTCTAAACACATGTGTAAACACTAACCTGGGCATACGTTGTGCCTGGTTAGCCCAGGCAGCAGGGGGCCAGACCCTTGTCTGCTTCCTAACCACAAAGCTCCACACACTGGGGCACTCCTGTGTCCCAGCCACCCCTTCCACCTCCTGATACCACCACCTGGGGCTGACCCCCCAGGCCCACTGCCAGCCTGGGGCTGCTCCACCCCAGCTCAACTGCTGCAGTCCCAGGTGCAGCATCTGCACATGCACCCTGGACTGCAGCAGTTAGAGCATCTATACAGACCATTGAGGCTCCATGTTTATGCCAGATTTTATTACATGGCCTTATTGATGCACCCACAGGTGGCCAAGCAGTTAAGGAATTGTCCAATAATTTTACTTCTCTTCCCCAGCCCTTTACACAGGGTATATCTATACTGCAGAAAGTGTAACAGCAGCTTGTGTTGACATATTGAAGATAGCTCAGCCAAGTTGAATGGGTACCAATAGCCACATGGTTGGAGTGTGCCTGCACACAGTTCACTGTGCCTGCAAAGTCTGCCTGAGAAGCCAAGTAAATGCTCAGGTTGGTGAGCTGGTGCCGAGTTCTGTAATGCTACAGCTACATTCCTATGAGTACCTGAGATAGCTAGTTTAAGGCTAACTCAGGTGTGTTCCCATAAGCTGAAATTGAACTCTTGACTGCAGTGTAAAAACCCACTGTTTCACTGTAATTCTAGATGCATGCACTCTCTCCTTTGGTATTCTCTGGTTCTTTACTGCCTGTCAATAGGGCACATATACCTTTTCCTCTAATTTTCTGTCTTTTGAGGAAATCAGAAAGCCAAAGTGGAACCTCATGCTAAAGTATCACCATCTAAACCAGACCCTTTTTGAGCTGTGGAAGACTGAGACACAAGTTCAAGCTATTTTGCAGAAGCTGAGGGGAGAAACTTCCAAATGTTTATTGCTGCAAAATGGGCAACCTGTATATTCTAGAGGTTGGGTTTATTGCAGCTCTGACTTAAAGAAGCTGTAGTTTGTAGGGCTCTTGGTATAGCTATTTTTCTACAAAAAAGCTAGCAAAAATAACAACTTAAAAACATATTTATAAAGCTACAAAGTTCAAACAAAACCAAAAAAATATTACTCTGGTAATATTGTGTGCAACATTGTACATACATAGAAGATTGGATTATTCTGTCAACTGTTTGGTTTTAGCTACAATATGTGCCATTTGCATAAACTAAAATTCCCTTGAGAACTTTCTCGCTCTTTTTTTTAAAACTTGCAACACTTAACATTAAATTCAAATAAATGATTGCCATTTTATTAATTTTTAGGACATTCTTAAGAGTTACACTGTGCCAGCTCTAACAGTTGTACTGTAACATTAGCGAGAGAAAGTGTTAACTGACCAGCCGCAAAAACTTGCAGTGGGTCCTTTTGAGAAACTTTAATTAAATTAAAAGGCTGAGCAAAGCATTCAAGCTTAAGGAATTTATGTGGAGATTAACTCCCTAAAATAATGTAGAGCACTCTACCTCTTGAATAAATATAGCTCTTTGAACATCAGAAGTAATTAAGTTGATTTTAAAGCCAGTTAAACTTGACAAAATTGAGGGCTAGGATTAGGGAAATATGGCTTGAATGTTGACCTATGACAGCATTTGATACAGTATTCAAGCAGGTTTTAATTTCTGGCATGGAACAGCTAGTAGCATAGTACATTAGCAAGAACATTCTAAAACCATTCTTGTTGGACTTAAATTTGTCATGCTTATATTGGGTGAACTCTACAAGTCTTCTTCCCCCACCCCCAACAATGAAAACATATTGTGCTCTTTAGCAAACCTGTGTCTTGCATTCACTATAATGCATATATAATAGAATTGCATCAAAGTTTTAAGTAGAGTAAACTAAAATCTTACAACTCTTGTAAAGTTACCAATATGCATACACCTACATTTCTGTATATGCTTATATTAACATGGGATTTGAGATAAAATTGACCTACTGGTTCTATTTAAATTCAGGAAAACAGTTTTTTGTATATATGTTTAACTCTTTTTTTCCCCCCTTCCAAATTATAATTTGTAATTTGACATCCACATTAATGATTCTGCTGTCAATATTTGAGCTAAAATACAATGGTATGTTAATTGGCTGTTTCAGACTAATAGCTCATACACAGAAGTATTTTTATGGTACTACCAGATTTCTTCTAATAGGGTCTCTCAGTTGGAAGCTGTTGGAAGACGGGGAGGGGCGAATAGCTTGGCGTACAATATAAAAACAAAAATGGGTCCAACTGGTATTAATCTGTCATTTTTGGCAAGTCAGCTTAGATTCTGGTTCTACTTCCCTATCTGTAAATAGAAACATTCATATCTGTGGCATTTATTACAGGTGATAGCATAGTAATCTGACAGTGTAATAAACATGTAATGCATGATATATCTATTGGAATGGAATCTTCTAGGCCCATAGCAATGATATTAAATAAGGAAAACATGAAATTTCTCTTTATGTGAATACATTCCTTCACTGTGCTTAAAGAAGCATTAAACTCCTCTTCTCAACAGAAATCATTTTGACATGAAAACTTATATGGTATTAAAACAAAGTCTGGCTGGGTTAAATTTGTAGGTATGGATTCTAGGGGAAGGAAGGAAGAGAGAGTAATTTCTGACATTGCCTTCATAAAATTTTATCTTAAAATCACTGCTATAAAACCTTGAAGAAGTAATGGTCGTTGAACCTGTCCATACATACCAAGGCATAAGTGGCTTATCCCAGTTCAATCCCCACTTTGATTCCTGTCAGATGAAGCAGTATAAAAGCCTTTCCATTCCACCTAAGTATCATGCAGCATCTAGGAAAAGTCTCGTGTGTGTGTGTGTTTCCCCCCAGAAAATAATTTATAGTAAGGTCCGTGTTCCTTTTTTCTTCAATTTTATATAAATTCACATTGTTATATGTGCCTACCCTATAAAACTCTTGTGATACATTTTATAACAGTGCATGAAACTGTATCTGTGCTCTTGCCCCAGCTCATCCCCACTTCCCTTTTGAAGCATTCAGAAGGTTGTGTGCCTGGGTTGAGGGCCATTTGTACACAGAAGAATTTTGTCAAGTGCTTCTTTAAAAGGGCCCCGAAAGATGGACAGGTGAGACTTCAAAGTTTTGTAAGGCAAAGAAGCTCCATCAGGCAAGGAATTGGAGACCCTCTGAGAATTGCATACATCAGGAAGCAGATGGTAGTTCTATGAAAATACTTGGATGCTACACTGTACCGTGTCTGAACAAATGAAGAGGGGCTGCACTTAGGAAAATGTTCCTCTAGAGAGTCTTTTCCGTCCCAGGAGACACCCCGGGATCCAAGCTTCCGAAGCAGAGGTGGGGACAGTGGTTCTGGTAGCTTTGTGCCACATGCTGTGGACAGAAAAAAGTCTGTCTGCACTCTTTAGTGGATGTGAACAGAGCTTGATCCCTCAGTCTGTAGGGTTCTGCAAAGAAAAAAAGAACATTTACTCAGATCTGATGTGGGTGGTTTCTGTCCTTTTCTCTGAGGTTTTGTTAGACACACTAGTCTCCACAAAACATCCTTTAAGGAACTCAGTGGAGGAATTCTTGGGCTTCATTAACCTTCTTCATACCATAGATTCACTGTCTCCTGGCCATGGAGGGAGCACTTTGATGTTCTGGGAACCTTTGTTCCAAGGTATCTGCTTGGTACCAGTGGTATTTTGGCTCTATTCACTGCCCTGTTTTTGTCAGGTATGAGCAGCATTCTCCTAGGACTTCTGCAGGCCACAGGTACTTCCTAGGATCTTGTTTGGACTACTTAAGGATAAAATTTGTGGATTTATTGTAGCACTTATGCTGATGAGCCCAAAAGCGCCAGTGTTTTCACCTTTTATTGCATTATCACTAAGAATGTGAGATGAAAGAAGATCCCAAGAAGGTAAAGGGGAGTCTCAATCCAAAAAATAAAAAAAATGAAGGTTTCTGCAATGGTATTTGTCATCTCCTGACTTTACAGACAAACATGTCAGAGATGGAACTAGGAATAATTATTTTAGGAAGTACCCCCTTATCTTCTCATCAGATTAGGATGTTGTAACTGCTGCTGCTTTCCACCTCTGCAGTCCCAGGGCCTTCAAGATCAGGAAGACAAGATGCAAGGAAGATGCAAGTCTCTTTTCATAGTGGCATAAGAACTTCTAACTTTTTGATATGCTAGCATTGCAAAAGAAGAAAGCATCCTCTGTATTAACAAGGACATTTTGGAGCCAGCTAAAGATGTCTGTACCACTCTTCTTCTGACCCTTAGTATTTTGAAATGGTGACTCTTACCAGGTTCTGACAGACAGTTTCAACATGGTTGCTGAAAGCCATTTACCAAAATCTTTGCCTCTGCTCTTGAAAGCAGAAGTGTAAACGGGCTTCATCTTTCACCCCTAGAAAAAGGAATCTACACGGCTAAATATACGATAATAGACTTTTTATGATAACTGATATATAGACATCTGAGAAATATCTGCATTAATAGCAACATACCAATAAATTGCTGTTTGAATAATTTACTAACTTTTATAAGTATGTATGTACTGTTTAATAATTACTGGCCTCATTTTACATATCTTGTTATTTAGTTTTGTCTGGCTCAGCACTAGTCTTTCCCAATATCATTCTACATGATGTACTGGTTAATGGCTTAGTTATAGCTTCATAGTTGTAGCAGGATTTATTAGGCAAGTTCTTGTGTTCTCATATGTTTCTCATGTTTTCTAAAAGTTGTAAAGTGTATAGAGGCAGAGTAACAAATACCTAGATATACTTTAAGTTGCAGTCAGCAAAAAATGAAACAAAACCAGACTAATTGAAGCTAGATAAAACTTTCTTAATGATAGCTTCAGGCAGGGCTAAATTTGCACACCATGCAAAACAAATCTTTGCTCCTCTGTCTCTTTCAGGTACAGAGTGCTTTGAAACCCAGTCACCAGAAGGATGGACAGGAGCTTAACGCTTTACTGAATGCCCCTCACATTCAGGTAAAACTGCAGAACTGCACAACATCATATATCTAGTTTAGAATGGATTTTTTTTTATTGCTTTTCATCTGTGCAGCATTTTTTGCAACCATTTTAGTTACTGCTTTATGAGGTTTTTACTTTTCAAGGTTAAACATTCCCTTTCTAATCTGTATACAGTAAAAGCTCTGTTATCCGGAATGGGGGATGCCAGATAACAAAATATGCCGGTTAATTGAGCAGCCCTGGCTGCCGTTTCTCCCACCACGTCTGAAGCGTCCCTCTGCCCCTCCCGCAGCATTGCCACCCTTCCTGCAGGACCTGCGGGCCCCATGGGACAGGGAGACGGGCCCCACACAGCCTGTTATGCCCCTGGGCCATGGGGGCTTGGAGAAACTGGAAGTACCACGGTGGGCACTTCTGGTTTCACTTCATCTTTCAAGCTGGCATGCCAGTTAGTAGAGCATGCCATCTTGTAAGCTGCCGGTTAACAGAATTTTTACTGTAGTAAATTTCTGTATGCTCGATATGTTTCTCTTGGGGCAAAAGTCTTAACTTGCTAGTAATTAAATTTTCTACTACAGTGAAATGAATATTTGGTGTTCAATCCCATCTGGCAAACATCAGATCCACTTAGTCAGGTGCCTAGGAAACCATATTTACACATAAGGTATATACTTCAAAATATAACCATTGCAAGTGCAAAGCTAGAGTATGCATCTAATATCATTTTTTCCTTTGTCAGAGTGCAAAACCTCAATCAGAATTAGATTCCACTGTCTTTAGCACTGATAGATAGAAAAACCTCCTCCTACCCTGAAGAGCCAGTTTACAATCCAAAAATGAAGGGGTGGGGGCTACATCCACATGAAAGAGGGGGAAATGGTACAGTATGAGCCATGTGATCAGGGTGACAGTGGACATATGGGAAAGCAGAGGACTGCTGGCAGAAGCAGAAAGCAGCTAAAATTAGCTTAAAACAGAGTCATTTATCAGATACACAGGGGACGCATCTACATGAGACACTGCGGCACAATAGCGACAAGCTAATATGTAGCTGAAGTACTAGATGACTGCGCAGTAGCAACTGCAGTCTGTTGCACATGTAGACACGGCCAGTGATGCACAAAGTTCATCTAGTTTGTCTGGAAAAAAAAGGTATTGCTTTTTGTGATATCTGCATAGTAGGAAGTTGTGGCTGTGGTTCCTTGCTTAAACCAGTTGTGCTTAAGTTTCCACTCCCATAGACCAGATGAGTGGCATGAAGTAGATCTGTGGACCAGATCCCAACAGGGTGGCTGTTTGGGATCAGGCACCATGCAACTGGATCCCACCTCATGCCATCCAGATCCTGCCTCGCCTCCTGGATCAGGCCTTATGTGCCTAGACCCCACTTCACACCACCCAGATTGATCCCTGCACCGCTCTGGCCCCATGCACCTGATGTAATGTGCAGAGTTATGCTATTTAGCCCACTGGGCTTCCCACAGGTCTTGAAATTTGGCAGCTGAGGAGTGACAACTAATGCTGCCAAATTGTTTTACCTGTGGAGAGCCCTGTAGGCCAGATAACAGCTTCTTGGGTGCGATCTGGCCCGCGGGCTTGGCTTGTTTAGCACCCCTCGCTTAATGTATTGCTTGGGAAATCTTTGTGCTATTGCAAGTTGAGAAGATCATCTCATTGGGAAATGGTGACTTCTCTTTCCCTTCTCTCCTCAAAGATAGTTCAAGGGAGTAGACGATCAGAAACAATAGGAATGAATTTCAGGGCACACCTCTAATGTACAAACAAGACTTGACAGCCAGTGAAGTTCACAGTTGAGTCATGTGATCAAAAGAGTGTGGTTAAAGTACATCTCTGGCAACTTACAGGAAAAACAGCTTTTATCTTGCTTCTTCACAAAGATTTGAGAAAGCTGTAATAAAGCTCCTTTTCTTTAAACTTCATGGTATTTTAAAAAATACCTTTACCAATATGCAATGAACTCTGCAACAGAGTTCCTAACTTCTGCCATGTTTTAGTGTAAATTCTCAAAATTCTGATACCATTTCATATTTAAAATTGTAGTTTGTACTGCACCTTCCATTTGAGATTTCATTGAACAATAGCATTTGTGTCTTCAGATGTTTCAGTTTTCAGTATTTGTCAGCAGGGCAAGCAGTGGCAGAGGGTCAGATGGTAGGGAGGCAGGTGCTCAGGGAGTTAAGTGACGTGATCCCTGCCCCTTGCCTCCTGATATCTGCCCCCTCACCACTTGCTCCTTCTGCTCCCTGTGTCTGTTGCCCTAGTACTTGTCATGTCCCCACCCCTGCACCTGCACTCTCTGGCACCTGTCTTCATTCTCCCTCTACCCCACTAGTTACCCTCCGCCGCTTACCTCCAGCCCCACCCCAACCCAGGGTGTGGAGCACATGGTTGCTCTGGCTGTGATCCATCCATGCAGCAATCATTGCAGTGGCAGCAGCTCTGGCCCCAGCCACTACATAGATTTTATAGATTTTCAAGGTCAGAAGGGACCTCAGTAGATCAAGTCTGACTACCTGCCCTGGGCAGGAAAGAGTACTAGGGTCAGACGACCCCAGCCCAGTGATTGTCCAGTCTCTTTGTAAAGACCCCCAAGGTAGGGGAGAGCACCACCTCCCTTGGAAGCCCATTCCAGATTCTGGTAACCCTTACTGTAAAGAAGTTCTAGTCTAAATCTGCTCTCTGTAAGTTTGTGGCCATTGTTTCTAGTTACTCCAAAGGAATGCCCTGGTAATCAGAGTATCTCGTATTGCTTGCTGCGTTTCCCTTCCCCACCCCCCATTGACAAATTTGTAGATGGCCACCAAATCACCTCTCAGCCTTCTCTTATGGTGGTTAAAGAGTTCTAGGTCCCTCAACCTCTCCTCATAGGACCTATCCTGCAGGCCTCTGATCATATGAGTGGCCCTCCTCTGGACCCTCTCAAGGTTATCCGCATCCCTCTTGAAGTGTGGCGCCCAAAACTCAATGCAGTATTCCAGCTGCAGCCTTCCAGTGCCACATAGAGGGGAAGTATCACCTCTCTAGACCTGTTCATAATGGTCAAACTAGGGTTGGAGCAACCATGTGCTTCATGCCCTGGCCTGAAATGTGTCTGGAACTGGAGAGTTGGAGGATAAGCAGCAGGAGGGGGCAGAGACTACAGGGAGGCAGGTTGCAGTTCTGACTCTGACCTCAGGTTGGAGCCAGAGTTGGAGCCACTGCAGCTTCCTGCCACCCCTCCCACCCCCCTGTGGCTTGTAATCAAATCCAAGACAAGGGGGGTTTTTCCCCTACGTTAATTGTGGGGGTGGGGGGGCTTCATCTTGGATTCAAGTAAATACAGTAGAGCATAATCATGTTATTGTGATGGATCTTCCTGGCTTTTTTATGCTAATTTGGAAACTTTAGTAATTTGCAGTGAATTTCACAGTAGAAATTAGCAAATCTGCCAATTTCAAATGGAGATAAAAGGCATAATTATGTTTAACTGTGCTATTTTTATTTAACATTAGGCACTTTTATTGGCTCATGATAAGGTTGCAGAGCAGGAAATGCAGCCAGAGCCAGTGACAGAGGAAAAGATTTATGAGAATGTTGGCCTGTATGGAGGAGAGACTGTTAAAATAGTTCGAATTGAAAAAGCTCGAGATATTCCACTGGTAAGTATTGATACTGTGACAGGCGTTCCCTTTCTCGGGGAAGAAAATAAAGATAGAACTGTCCTTTTTGCTTTTATTCTTCCAGACTCCTATTGGAAGACGTTGTCCTTACAATGTTTTTCAGACCTTTTATAAATGAGAGTAAGTATGACGCTTGTTTTCCCACAAATGCGTGAAGCAGGACACAGTTTTGTTTTTCTTTACAGATCGCTGTTACTGTTCTGGAACTTGCAGAGACATACTGCTTAGACTTTGACTTGACATTTGTCATTCCTTACAGGATAAATGCTTAGAGCTGACAGGGTTTTTGGTTGTAGCAGTGTTGGTCTAAGGATATAGGCAGGCAAGGTTCTTTGAGTAGATGCGATATCTTTGATTAGACCAGAAAAAATTATTGGCAAGCTTTTGGGCACAGTCACCCTTCTTCAGTCATAGGGAGTCTCTGCTGTTCTGAGACTCCAAGAAATCTGATAGTGGGATTGAAGTCCTGAACTTCAAAAATGCAAATTTCAACAAGCTTAGGTCACTAGCAGGGGAAGTGCTATGGGACCAGGAACCAAAGGTGAAAGGTGTGCATGAAAAGTGGTTGTTCCTTAAGGACATGATCCTTGAAGCACAAAGGAAGTCTATTCCCATGCAGAGAAAAGGTAACAGAAGGGCTGGGAAGCCCTGTTGGCTAAACAGGGAAATCAGGGTCATCTTAAGAAAGAGGCTTACAAACAATGGAAGCTCGGAGCAGGCCCCAAGGAGGACTATTCCATGACGACCCACATTTGCAGGGAACAGATAAAGGCTAAAGCGGTGACCGAACTTAGATAAGCGACGGGAATCAAGAACAATAAGAAGCACTTCTTCAGGTACACAGGGAACAGGAAGAAAACAAATGCAAGTGTGGGGCCATTGCTCAACTCAGAAGAGCTGGTTACTGGCACCTAGGAGAAAGCTGAACTCCTGAATGACTACTTCACCTCGATCTTTCAGTGGACCAAGGGGAAAACAACGCCAGGTAGAATACAGGATGAGCACAGTAGGAATAATCGTCTTCCTACTATTGCTGTAGAATTGGTGTGTGACCAACTAAAAAATTAGACAGATATAAGTCAGCAGGACTGGATGATCTTCATCCGAGAGTGCTGAAGGAGCTGCCCAAAGTCACCCCTGGCAAAACTCTTCCACAAATTGTGGCACTCTGGAGAAGTCCCTGAGGACTGAAAGAGGGCCAGTGTTGTGCCCATCCACAAGAAGGGCAGGAGGGAGGACCCGAGTAACAGGTCAATCAGCCTAATTTCTATTCCAGGGAAAATTCTAGAAAAATTCATCAAGGAGTCTATCTGCGATAAGCTTACAGAACATGAATGACACATGCCCCTGCAGGCAGCCGCGGCGGTGTTGGCAGGGACGGGCTGAGCAGGGAGCCCCCAGGCGGCCACATCGGCATTGGCAGCAGGGGTGGGTGGCAAGCTCCAACCAGTGGTCAGCGTTGACCTGCAGATACTGCCAGTGGAGGCCAGTGGCGATCAGGGACTGCACGCAGGTGCTGCCTTTAGGGGGGAGCAGTGAGCAGTGACTGCCCACAGGCACCACTGACAGCATCATCAGCGCTTTTCACAGGGGGTGCACATACACCCACGTGCACCCCCTACAATGTTGCGAATGTTGCAGAAGGTAAGATTCTGAGTGGCAGCCAGCATGGCTTCATCGCAGGCAGGTCATAGTTTCTAGGGTCGGAAGGGACCTGAGCAGATCATCTAGTCCGACCCCCTGCCATGGCAGGAAAGAGTACTGGGGTCAAACGACCCCAGCAAGGTGTTCATCTAACCTCCTCTTAAAAACCCCCAGGGTAGGAGCCTGCACCACCTCTCTTGGAAGTTGGTTCCAGACCCTAGCCGCCCTGACCGTGAAATAGCGCCACCTGATGTCTAACCTAAACCTACCCTCTGCCA